ACGATTATCATGAGTAGGTACTTCAAGTTTGTCCACTAACACGACTCATACGAGGATATACTTATTCTTTGCCGCTATTGTCTTGAATGGCCCAACATGATCCAGGTGTATGATCTGAAATGGTCGTCTCCCCGGTGGTATAGGATGTAGAAACGAATCTAGGAAAAAAAACCAAAGAAAAAAAGAACACGGAAAAAAAGAACAATTTCTAGAAATTTTAAACAGTGTCCCAATAATCAATATTTTTTTTTAAAAACATTTTCATATAATGTATAGACACTTATGCTATATTTTTCGTATTATTTATTGTAAAAAAAATACGAAACATAAATACAATAAAACTTAGTATAATAATATAGAGTAAGATGCATTTTTATTACTGTAAATGCCCTAAGTAATCCTAGTGCCCTTATAGTTGACTATAGGTGACCTTTTGATACTTTATCATAAAATATAACTAGTGGTAAAATATAAAACAACATTTTATTACTGGAAATTTCCCATGTAGACTTTTCATACTTTAGAGCTATAATTTGAGTGAACATATTTTAGTCTATTGACAGTCATTGAAGTGTTCAAGTGTTTTCATTAAATTTTTAAATATATTTGAAATGGAAATTTTTAAATCTAATAAAGGAGGTGAAAAAGTAGCTTTTGAAGGATATACTTATATCACAAAGCACAAAGGTAAAAATTATTTTACATGGAAATGTTCGACCAAAAATACGACAAATTGTGCTGGAATACTAAGGACTATAGTATTTTAAATCCTACCGTAACAACAGAACACAATCATCCTGCGAACCAATCCGAAGTAAATGTTATGAAAGCAGTATCAAAAATGAAATTAATGGCTAAGACATCCTGTACAAATAATCCAGTCGAGATTTATGCTCGAGGTGTCTCCGAGTTCGATGAACGTTCTAAATCAAAAATTTATGTTTCGTATTTTTTTTATAATAAATAATAATAATAATGAATAATACCAAAAATATAGCTTAAGTGTCTATGCATTATATTAAAAAATTTTTTTAAAAGAATTTTGATTAATGGGACACTGTTTAAAATTTTTAAAAATTGTTCTTTTTTTCCTTGGTCTTTTTTACCGTTTACCTGTAGAAACCCGGGTTTCGGTCCCACGGGCCTTTTGTTGGTGAGGAAGTCTACGCACATGGCTGTGACACTTAATCTAGCGTTTCATAATGACAAACCTATAGTCGGCGTTTTTGTGCGCAACGGTATGATCAACTACGCCCTTGAGCATGGATTTTGGCTCAAGTAGTGGCCGATTGCGGTGAATCTTGTACGAGACTCCGTCAGTCGTCACTTGAAATTCGTCAAGCATTTTATTTGATACACTGTTACACGCAGGTTCCCCGTTCAAACGACCGATTATATACGTCGTACATTACACATAGGAAATTATATCTGTTTGGTCTTTGCTAACATATGGGAAAAAATTACAATATGTGGAATGAAGTGGGAAGGAAACCTATAGTATTGGTAATTTTAAGACACTACATTTTATAATACAAAAACATATTTTAAATTATAACTTATGATTTCCTACTCTTTTTATTTACAATTTATAAATATTGATAAAGATTGAAAACCCTATTTTTTGATATATTTTAAAAATGTTTGTGGTAAATAAATTAATAATGCATCTAAGTTTTTAATAATTATACTGGCTCGAAGAGCCGGCCGGCTTCAAGACCGTATTTTAAAACACATCGGACTTTTTACGTTTTAATGCCTAACCGGTTTTGCCGTGTTTTGATGCTGATGATATATCTATTCGATCATAAAAAATATAGGTTGTGTGGACTACTTAAGTATTTATCATACTTCAAATTTTTATATTTATTTTATTTATAAGTTGAAAAGTTTTGTTTAAATGTTTAATTTGTCATCTTGCACTCTTCTCATTCTCCATAGGTTGTACTAATTGACGGTTTTGGTCTATGATAATTTACTATGTCCATTTTCTGAAAATTATTTATTTACAATATTTCAGATATCAATTAAATGTATTATCCATCCAAACCCTTTAATTTCCTCTCAAGTAATTCTGTTCCCGGGAATCTAATGCGCTGTGTGAAACGTCTATTGTGTATAATTGAACCACCTATTTGAGATACGACGTAAGTCAACAAAAGGTAATTCGGAGAAAAATGAAAAAACTGTTTTTAAGCTACCAGTGGTACATGGTTATTACGTGTCCCTTTCATACTGATTTTTTACAGTGGTAAAAATAATTTTTATTGCATATGTTCACACATGATCCGTCTATCATTTGATAACAGACACGGATCCAGAGCAAAGATCTGGGGATGAGGCACAATTTTTTGTTGATGTAAAATTACAATATTGGAATCACTTTCTAACATGAACTAAGTTAGTACTATCTTATTTTTTATTTATTAATATATTATATTATCAGACACACATGTACTTTGAAATATAGTTATATCAGTATCTGTAGAATTATTAAAAACATTTGGGAAATAATATGTCTGGGGGGGATGGGCCCCTAGCCTTCATTCCTGTATCTATCCCTGTTTGATAACACAGCAATCCACTCACTATCTCAATTTGTGATATTTTGTGACTTACGTCGTTTCTCAAATAAGTGGTTTGCTTATTAGTTATAAAATAAAAAACTAAAATAAAATATAAATCCCATTAAGAGAGATTGTACCAATTTTCCTCACCTTTTTGAATACTCTCCTGAGCAAACACGATAAACTCCATTTATGTACGATTATATAGCATATTAGGTACTAGACAGGATGATCCAACAAGTATACTCACCCCCTTTTTTTCTTTAATAATGAAGTTTTTCAAAATTTGATTTTTGGAATCTTTAAATATACTCAAAGACCATAATTTCATATTCTTGAGATTTTTTGTTCCACGTAAGGAGTACCCTGTGGCGATACAAACTTTTGTTTTTCAAATGGGAACCCCACTTATTTACTGTAAATTATTTAGGATAATTATTTTGAGAATTTTTGATATATTGAAATCAAAATTCGAACGAGTAGTTTTCTAGTTATTACGCATTTTGTGCTAAGGATTGTATAGTTTATAATAGGGAAGAAGGATATGCTTATACAGTATACATTGTTATCTATAGTCTATAAAAAATAATATAATACATCATTTTATATTTATTTAGTCAAACACTTAGGTAAATAGCAAGTAAAATCTTTCTTGATTTATTTAGTTACCTATTTGTCTTACTCTATGTGTAAAACAGTATAAGCATATTCCTATTATGGTCTATGGACTATTATCCTTAGTACCAATTGTCCAATGACTAGGAAACCACTCATTCAAATTTTGACTTCGACACATCAAAATTCTCAAAAAAATTATACGCTAAATAATTTAAAGAAAAAAAGTGGGGTTCTCATTTGAAAAACTTAGGTTTGTATCGCCACAGGACACTTCATAAGCGGCGAAGAAAAACTTCATTATTAAAGAAAAAAAGTGGGGTGAGCATATTTGTTGGATCACCCTGCATATAAAAATCTATAATGAAAAAAAAGGTTTACAGTACCTAGATTTTATTTACTATGTTTAGCCTCCCCCATTGATGTCTACATTATTATTGAATATTATGCAAAAATAGCAACATTCACAAAAATTGAAGGTAAAAGTCACTGCCTTGATCGTCACACATCTTAACATAAAAAAAATGTCCGTTATATTTAAAATAGTTGAACTGTCCCATCTTCTTTAAGCTAACAGAAACCATTGAATATATCAAAAAATGGACTCTTCATAAAAACGCTTTTCAAACCGGGAGATAGTACACAGCAGTGCATCCCACAGGTTAATAGTTAACAATGCAAAAAGAATTTAAAAAAAAGTATTTGGTTGAAGGTTATAGATGGACGAATTCAAACTTTTTGAGCACAATTCCAGTATTTACCTAAGTATTTACAGATAAAGATAATAATTAATGAATACAAAAACATTGTTGCTGAATCAATGCATTCCATGTTGGTCATTCAAAATGTAAAATTAATAAATAAATAATGATGTAATATCAATACATGCATTCTTCACATCGAGTAGAATTTAACATATACTATTCCACAGATATTTAACTTTTTTTTTATAGCTAAGATAAGGTAATATTTAAATAATTGAATAAATAACAACTCATATAATTTTTTTTTCAAATGTTGTTTTTCATTGGAATAACATTAACATTGCCTGCGTACAAGTTATTATTATTTTATATATTATATAATATTCACAATAATAATATTAAAATCCGCCTGTATTCCTTTGTTATGTTTGTACAAACCTTAAAATGTGTATTGTAATAATAATTTTTGTAACATTAATAATTTATTAATATTATTTTTTACATGCTATAGACCTGTACAAAACGAAAAAAAAAACTAAAATAATTTAATTATAATATTAATTGCATTATTATTCGAAAATGTTTTATGTATAAATATTGACTTTGGTTAGAATAAATATATAATTTAATTTGTTCAAATTGGCTACAATTCTGTTGGAGTTCTACAGGATTTTTTTTTCTTTTTTGGTCAATTTGATAAATATTTTACATAAATAGTTAATAAAATATATATATATATATATGTATATATGTACAATTCAATAATGATAATAATATACGATAATAAACCAAAATACATTTATAAATAAATATTATACAAGTAGTCCGATTTAAAAACGGCAAAGGAAGGGGAAATAAAAGCCCAAAAAAAAAGAATATATAAAGCTAAGACATTAAAACACAACAACAATCACATTTAGATGTGACTAAAATTGACATTTACTAAAAAAAAAATAATAATTTAGTAAGATAAAAAAGGAGAAATAAATTATATTATACAAAAAAAAAAACTTAAATATGAACAACCATTAAAACGACACAATATTTTATGGTAACTCGTTCCTTGACAATTTGAACATAAATTGTCATTAAAAAAAAGAAAAAAATAATGTATCAAGAACAATAATAATATTATTACATTCACAATTCGCCTATAACGGATTGTTTAAAATAAAATTGCCCTAAAAAATTTACTATCCATTGGTACCTAGATATTACATATATGTTATTCGTTAAAAATTTGTAATTAACATTTTTCTACACTAAAATGGTGTCCAGTTATTTTTCTTTTGTTTTTGTTTTTTTTTTTATATATTTTTCTTAAAATAAAGCTAAAAATTTACATTAATTAAATATCACCTTAATTGACCTAAAATTAACTGAAACAATAGAGGAAATGTTTCACGAAAATTTAACTATGTTATTCGAAAAACATGTTACCGTCATATCAGAGCATTCATAGTGTGGTAAAGCTGCATTAGTACTTGCATGTGTATAGGCAAGCAAGACATCCTGTCATGAGTGTTTGAGTCCAATGATAACCATGATAATGCATTGTAACCCTCCAAGACATACCTGTGTAATTATTAAATTAATATCAATATTTGATATCTATGAAATTTGATTATTAGTTATTACCTTAGGACATCTGTGGTATATTGAGAATCTAGTGGATGTGCTGAAACCGCAGATGTGGGATGAAGGAGATCTGCAGCTGCCGGATCAGCATTATTAGGTAATTGTACAGTATGCATGTGCAATGCACTTTTCAGGAAAGCAGGACTGCATTTTTCTATGTCAGGTGCACATGACGCCCAAAACCACGTGGGCATACGTCCCGTTGGTGCGGTAGATACTAGATAGCCTAGAGCCAGTGGTTGTTGGAGTAATGCTCCCACTTCTTCATGGCCATCAATACAACTACCACCATTCTGAATAGAAAATCATTATATATTATAAAAATTACTATATTAATCTCATAACATTCATCTTCTTACTCTGTATGAAGAAGATCCACAAGCAAAAGGACTACAAGGCTGTGAAGATGGTGGACTACCAGGTTGAGAAGAACAGTCTCCTCTGGGCCCCATTGACCCTCGACCCATTCCTATGGAACCACCCAATGATCCAGAGCCCATAACACCTCCTATAACATTACTACTAGGACCACCTAAAACCCCGGAAACACCACCACTCGGAAGACCCAAGCTCGTGTTTCCCACAGCATCCGAATCATTCCATGTGCTAAATATGTCGTTGAAATCACCCATTCCCTCCATACTTTGCATATCTTCTTCATTAAATGCACTGAATAATTCATCATCACCAAGTTCAGGACCATTAATTTGTTGTTCTTGGAACGCAGTTTGCGAGGACTGAAATGTCAAGAAATTTATATAAGATTGTTAATAAGTAATAGCCTACATCCATTATAAATAATTACCTGGGTTGTAGCTGATGTTGGGAATACTAGTATATGAGTTGCTGAAACATCACGAGGCGTGGAGAGTTGACAAGCAACAGATGCTTGGCTAAAGCGTTCATCAGGTGTGAATTGGTCTGTCATCAGTCTTAAAGAAGAATCAGGTTCCAAAGAAACTAAGCAAGCACTAACCACAGACGGTACATCAGATTTTTGGTACAACAGACTGCATTGGCCACAAGATTCTTTTAAGTGACGCGATGCTTTCATCAATGCTTTACGACTCAATAACCACGACCAACCTAAAATGTACATGTTACACATATTTATTTGACGGAACATAAAAAGCAATTTATATTGTTTAATTACCTTTAAGTTCTCCGTGTCCAATTCTTCCTACTCGACCCACAACTAATCGCCAAGGTGTTACACTTTGACTCATTACACCTAAGATGAAATCCATCAACTTCTGTAAGCCAACTCTTCGGGCTGGAGATTTTCTTCGCCTACTAAAGATTAAGTACATATTAAATAACTTCATTATTATAACATAAAAGTAATACTTCTTACTTGTTTGGTACATATATATTAATTGTAGCGGTTTCTAATAGAATTCCCTGTTCATCGGTTGCTGTAGCCAATATCCACCTTTGATCTTCTGATATACAATAACTGGCATAAAGTACAGAACATTGTTGATCGGTACCTGAAGGAGAACCAGTCCCATTGGGTCCACCAAGGTTTGACAATGAATCACCACCACCACTCATATTATCGCCAGCTATTCCACTATCTGTTCGGCCAGTTTTATTATTTCTATAACTAGCTAAAATAAAAGGAGGAGTATATGCTTTATATGCTGTTCGGCTTTTTTCCTGTAACAGAGCACATAAAACAAGTAAGTACAAAAGTATATTCCAATTAAGGAATTTTTAAGTATACGAACATCTTTATTTTTTAAGAACAATTCAGTCATGGCTGCTGTGCCAAATCCAGTTAAGGCTTTGATATTAGCAGTGTGAGTTAAGTACCGTCTACATTGACTAAACACTGATAGGGCTAAGGTTCTCATATTATCACTCATTTTAAGATGATCTGAGGATCGACCAAGTTCCAAAACACTCTCTAAAGATATAAGCTGAAAATTGAAATTCACAAATTGAATACAACATACAACAATTATTTTTTTTTTTTATTGCAAAATTAAAAATCACCTGTACTGAAATATTTGATCGTATAGCTTCTGGAAGTGTAGCCAAAACTGTATTATAACATCGTAAAAGCCCATGACAAGCAATCCTAGCAAGGTTACTACTATCCTTGCCAATTGAAAAGGGTTCAACAAGATAAATAACAATGGCTGGCACTTCTCCATCATCCTCTTCACAGTGACTGTTATCTCCATTACTATTAAAACTTTTATCAGCCTGTGAACCACTAGAGGAATCATCTAACCCATCACTCTTAGGAGTGGGTGCACGCTCATTGGATGAAACAGGTGATTCCACTGAGTTAGGTGTCAGTGATGCTGGTGGTGGCATTGGAGAAGGTGGAGGCCTTGGAATACTACCTTCTGGTGGATCCAATAACGTCTTATCCATAGAAAATTGAGAAAGTTGTGGAGCTAAATAATGACGACAAACTTGGGCGTATAATTTTAACATAGACGATTGATGATTTTCACCCAACATCGAGAACCATTCGTCTACAGGTTCTTTAGCTAATTTTGCAGCAGCTGATTTGCCAACTCTAAGAATACCATCTCGTAATACTTTTGTAATTGGACAATGGCGACCTAATCGATTTATTTCATAAGCTGCACTTAATTCTTTGAAAAATGCTCTTGTTCTTTGTAAAATAAATTCATTATCTGGACTAACAACTATGTATGCAACATCTCGTGAATATGAAAAAGGTTCTAGTAATAATTTATCCCAATAATGAAGCGCTAAAGGAGCAACGGCTACCCAATCTTTGTCATGTCCAACCAGAATGGGAGGAATGGGCTGTGGTTCACATCTATCTTCAGTACCCCGACCAGCCAATCGATGGAATTGTCGCCAAGTTAATGGTCCAGTGACAGTGTAAGGTTCCCATAACCTAGTAGTTACACTTCTTCTTTGAATAGCTTCTTGTAAAAGTGGTTGTAATGTCCTCATAACCCTTATAAGCTGCCTGCTGCTACGAGGTCCCGGTGCTTGACTGTAAGCCCATCTATGCACAGGTGGAGAATTATTATTCAACGGTGGCAATGACTGTTGGTGATGACCAGGCCAACGGTGATGTTCAACTTGCCAATGATTATTCATTCCACCTTCCAACTGTACAAAATAATATTTAAAATAAGTAAATAAATACTTAAATACTTCATAGTCTATAAAACAAAAAAATTTACTAGACTATGCAATAATTTGTTATACAAACCTTAGCCAATCTCCCTTGTTCTAGAGCAAGTAGAGCAACTTGATTAGTATCTGTAAATTCTAGCATATTGACAGTTGCAGTTTGAGGTGGATGATTTATGGGAAACTTTGCTGCTGCCCGTACTAGAGAACTACAAGAACTATAGATTACAGCAGCACATTGTTCCCTAACTAGTTCTAAAACATCCGGGTTCATAGAGTTATCATCTACACGCACAGGGCTATCTTCAATAAGTCCAGTTATTTCAGCCTCATCTTCCGGAAACAATCCCGATTTATGAGATAATCTGCGGTTTACCACAGCACTGAAACCACAACTGCATCGAATTCCATCTTCATCACCTAAAATAGTTTAAATACATTAATTCAAGTAAATTACTAATGATTATAAAAATTTAAATATTTACCAGGTATTCCCACAGACATATGATGTTGTTGATACTGAGATGAGTATCCGTTAGGAGTCAATGTATGAGTAAGATAAACAGCTGCATCCGTACCTTTGATATTACCAACCACTTTTGGACCAGCATTACACACACACAATGTGCAACTGTCAAAATTATGATCTCGGAAGACATTAAGTAGTGAGTCAGTTAACAAAACATTCACAACTATTGAGTTAGCTTCAGGTACAGGTGGAGACATATTTGTGGGTACAACATTCATATTGTGATGCTGTGACAGTGCAGGACTATATGGTGGAGGAGGCACTTGTTGATGTTGTTGTATTTGTTGTTGAGGTGGTCGGTGATATTGATTTCCTCCTCCAGGCCATGGTGCACTATGAGGTGATGGACTCATCATTATTGGATGATGATAATGATTATTGCGATTCATATTTGGTAATAAATTGTTATTAGCTGAAGATGCCGGCGGAGGTACAATCCTAAAATAAAACAAGTTTAAAATTGTATTAATGAAAATAAGATCACACAATAAAAATTAGGGCAATTCATTTAACTTTATTTTCAGTAAGCAATGGTATTTTCAAAATAATACGACTAATTTTGAGCTATTTAAAGGACCAGCCAAAAAGCTTGAAAATGTTATTTAAGGTTACACTTAAGTTGTTCATACAGCAATTTAAAAATATGAAAAATACATAAGCAAAGGTTTTTCTTTGTCATCTTTTCAATTACAAATTTTTGATAAAATTGATATTGAAATTTTTGATATTGAAAGGATAAATATACCATGAAACTCTTTTTACAGTATGTCAGAATTGACTTGAAGTTAGTAAATTATAATTAAAATATGTGCGATCCGTTTTTGTCAAAAATGACATCAACCTAGCATAAATTTACTAAATATCTTTGGTAATTGATTTATCATTGAATTCATTGAATCATTACATATGAACACAATAAAGCCGCATACTTAACATCTACTGTATACCATATTTTTTAAGTTTTGTTTAGTTATTTTATTAAGTTCATGATGGTAAGAATGTTGACTTTGGTTTATTTTGATTAAGTGGCCCTGTAAAACACTTTATGAACCACTCAATTGCATGTACTTGGGAGATTACATATGGAACCATAACCAACATTAAATTATTATTTAATATTTCAATTTTGTTTAAAAAAGTATAAAAAGTGTATTTTTGTTGTTTGTTATTAATGATGACTAAGTAAGATTTTGAGATAAAAGTCTGTCAATATCTCTAGTCAGTTTAAAAGTACACCGGTTCGCACATATGCTGACAGGATTACGTTGCCAGAACCTAATTGATTGTTTGGAAATCGACACCCAATCATTGGTAGTGAGGAGACATGCTCAGCCATGACAAATTTTCTTCAGCTACCAAGTTAAATATGAAAACTATCTTATTATTTTTATATAAAACTTCATTTATTATTGAAGGTTTAAATCAGAAATACAGAACTAAAATTTAGAAATGTGAATAAAAAATAATACTTTAAATGGATTTGATATAAATAATTTTTTACCAATAAAATAATGTATAACCATTAATAACGCATTATTACTTAATATCTAAATAAAATTGAAAAATAAACCCCTTAAAATAAAATGTTGAACTTACTGATTTGGTTTTTCAGGCTGTGGTGGATGATGTTGAATTTGTTGAGGTTGTGATGAAGCGTGGTAAACAAAAGAGGAAGGTTTATAAACACAATTGGAAGGTACTATTAACGGGGGTAGATTTTGGCTCGGAAGATTTGTGAGAGGTGCGTATTTTGAAGAGCCAACCATTTTGGCTATGGCTGGAGGTTTGTACACATACGACCAATCCTATTAAATGAAAAACAAATAAATATTAATAACACATTAATTACTTTATTCAGAATAACCTACATCTATGTGATCATGTTGAGGACTTCCCATGTAAGAATTTGTTTGGTAAGTACGGGGTGGAAGTAGATCCATGTCAGGACATGGAGATGCTATAGGATTGTGTTCTAACGATGGAGGAGTTGGAAACATTTTTACTAATTCTTCAGGCCTTAACACTCCACCGCCACTGCCACCACCACTACCTCTAGGAGGTCGCACTAAAAGTGTTGTCAACCCTCCTCCAAGACAATCATCTGGTTTATTTGAGCCAGGAGGTGTTTGCATTTGTAACTATAAATTATATTATTATTAATAGAAAAACAAAATAAAAAAGGAAAATAAATTTCAATGCTTACAGCAGCCACAGCTTCATCACTAGATAAATCATCAGAATTGTCAAACATATGATCAAGGTCCCGCATACTATCATTCGTACACCTATTACCATTCATTAACCCAGGATCATATTCTTTTTTGATATCTTCATTCTAAAAACAAAATTAAAATTATTAGGTTTAAAGAGCTTTTTTCATAACAGTTTCAAACTATTTAAAAAACGATGTAGAAAATAAAGTATAAATAATAATATTTACCTTCATCACAGCCATAGAAGTATTAAGTTTATAATCATTAGAAATCATAATATTATTGCTAGAACAAGCCCCACTTTCCTCATCAAATTCATATGGATCAGAACGACCACCTTTAAATCTAAGAGCATTATTTCTTAATTCTTCAAAGCTGCTAAAATTATTTATTGAAATTTCAGATGGTTCAACCTTAAAAAGAATTTATTAATTAATAAAGTTATTTAAAATAATATAATATTATATAGTAATTTTAAATTACTGGAAGAATAGGTACACTAGTATCTCTTCTAATGTATACTTGTGGAGGGGATGCTGGATTGTCCATCACATTATTTATTCTTGTAATTGGTTCTTGCTTAGGTACAATCGGCTTAAACTTTTTTACTGGATGATATAACCAAGCATCAATACAAGAATAATCATACAAAAGTTTAGATGGCATTATTTCTTCTTCGACCAAATTTGCTTCATAATCCTTAGATGAGAGCTGCGGTCGTTTTAACGTAATATAAGCACTTGAACTTTGAGTTTGCATTGGAACTGGTGTTGTCGCAGTTGGCGTTGTTGCTGGGATGCTTACAGTATTACTAGGTGGTGCAGGTGTGCCAGAGTTACTTTCTCGTCCAGATTTTACAGGTTCCTGACTAGCAGGAGCAGATGAAGGATAAGGTGAAAATACTTGGTTGGAGACAGATGATACAGACTTAGGCTGAAAATCAACTGAAAGAGGTGTAATAGGAATTTTTTCATCATGTGGACTAAGCATTGGAGGAGGAATTGAAAGTGGAGCTGGTTGTCCAGCGGATGGAGGGGTTGGCACTGAAGGCAAAGGTGGCACAGAATCTAGCCCACAAGGACTATCTGTAGGACAAAGACGTGTAGACCTAAAAAATAATTTAACATTTATTAAAATACTGATTCAATGAAGATTTAATTTAAAAAAGCTTATTAATTGAAAAATGGGGGACAAAAACCATTTATATTAGTTATTTATAATATAATAGTTCATGCAATTATGTACATAACATCAATTGTATACAATTTAAATTATAATACCCAACACCACCACCATTTCATGCCATTTATTTTTGTACCATATTGTTATTATAATATAAATATATTATAAATATTCAATACTCAATTATTTTATATTAAATATTAAAATTCAAACATCCACAGTTAATTAAGTAATGTAAAATACTCCCAATTTTAAATTTAAAAAAATTAGAAGTTATTTTATCTATTCATCAAATTACGAAAAAACCAGACATACAAATTGTTAATGTAGATTAAAAATATATTATAGACTGTCAGTTGTTATTTAAAGGCCTTTGAAATTAAGTGATAAGACTAGAATCCTGTTTAGAAATATAAGATTTGTTTTATTTTAAACACCATTTCACCTCCCAAGCGTCTCATCAATAGACAAACCTGAGGGTGGTATTGTTTGCATCGGGTGGCGGCTGCTGAGTGACGAAAATATCAGGGAGGGGAGTGCGTCTATGGAATGGTGTGCCGATTGGCTGTGTCTGGTGCTTGGAACTCGTTTTTCTACACCTGTAAATAGCCGGCCAAATAACAAAAACCAATCGACTTCCAGAGCTCCATAAGACAAACATCGCACTAACATCTTAATAACAACATTTAAATACAAATCATCTTACCTTGTACAGGAACATGTTAATTTTTGTAATGGATCAGATAAGTGCCATTGACCTAAAGTTGGCGATTCAGGTCTGGATGGAGGGTTCTGCTCTGTGTGTAGTGATCCTAGCACACAATCTTGCCAAGCTCGTTCAGGTATGGATGCCACTGCATTATCCAAAGCATATATTATTGTATCTGGATGATGTTGATGCTTAGTCGCAAACAACTGTTGTTTAGGTACTACTTCAAAATTAAAAAATTAAATTTTAAAATAATTTTTATATTTCTCAACAAATTAAATTAAATACTTTGTGGCTGTGGTTGTTGGTGCAGCTGTGGAGGTTGTTGTTGCTGTTGCTGTTGCTGTTGAGGAGTTGTTTGATGAGTATTCTGACTTTTATATAACTCAGCAGTACTGTCGTCTAAATCAGTTACCAAAACATAACAAGATGGATATCTCATTTTTACACCACCTATAAAAAAGCACATTAAAACAACTAATCATATAATTTTTAACATTTTATATTTTAAAAGTAAAAATATTGATGAAATCAAATTAAAAACTAGTGAAAATTATTAAGACTTACCAACTAAAACTTCTACTGCAGGAGATAATTCATTAGGTCCATTATTATTAACAACTGGATAAAAATGACTCCATTCATCCATCATACGACTAGTTTCAGCATCCATATTTTTATATACATGGCCAGTTAATGTACCAGCAAGGCCAAAAGGTGCAAGCATTACTAGAATTATAGAATTATGTTGAAAATAATTAAATATTAAAAACAAAACAAAAAAAAAATTACCTTGAATATTTGTTCCATTTTGAGGTTGAGAGGACGCTTGTGCTAAGTGTTCTTTTGATAAAGTTCGTACTACAGAATGTTGCCGTACATCGATGCTAGCACAAACTGTACTTTCTCCATGGACAAAAAACGCAAAAGAAAATGACAAATGACTTGCACTATAAAAATATGAACATTAAATTATGTTAAAAGATATTTACTTAATAAGAAAATTTACCTTGAACTATCTAACTTTTCTGAAGATGAATAAGGTTGTACAAACCATTTGCCTAATCGAATAAATTCTCTAGACATTAAACATCTGAAATAATAAGAACACATTTTAGATTAAAATTAAAATAAACTTTTGAAATACACATAATAATTAATAACCAATAATTTTAAACAAAATTTACCTTTCAATTAAATTATGAAGTGCCTTAAATAAAAGTGAACGGCATTCATAAGATAGACCACTTTCCCATGATCCATTATCACCTTCTGCAAATAATATATATAATATTTTAAAATTTGAATCAGAAATTGTATTAAAACTTAAATAAACGTTACCATTGAGTAAAAGTTGAGGAGAAACAAGTCCAGTCAGATCTGGTTCTTCACCATACCAAAATATCCACAGTTCTTTCGATGCTTTCAAAGAAAGTGCTGGTGGGAGAGCTGGTATGGGTGTTGGTGGTGCAGGAACCAAGGGATCAAGTGACGTCTGTTGAGAGTTGGCAGGCGGTAATGAAACACGTCGCCATACAGCCAACATATCATGTGTTAAACATCTTGTATAACTAGATAACACAGGATCCTCGAGCACCGAGCCACAGGCATTGGTTCCACCACCAGGACCACCTCCCCAGTCAGGAGGTCCTTCTGGACCAGCTGAACAATGAACAAACTTACGCCATTTTATGCCGCATAAGTCAGTCTAAAATTATAAATTTATATTTGTTTAGTTTGATCAAGGACACAGAAAATAAATATTCGAGGTTATGGTTTCTGACTTTTTATCAATTATTAAACAGTGAAGGGCGATACACTATGAGATGGCTCATTCAGAAATCTAATCAGGCATTACACTCATGGGCATGGAAATGGGGATGGCCGGGTGGGCCACAACCCATCCTATGAGATGTACCATTACTGTTATACACAGAGACTTAGATCATAATCCTGAACATAATATACATAGTAGTAATGTTTTGTTCTATAATCTATGCATTGTGATTTTTGAGTTGAAATAAATAGTTTAGTAGTTTAAATATTTTGTTGACCATCCCACACCCAAAGCTTTTTGACGCCATACGCTCAACTCATTATTGTTTATGACATATTATCTTGTGTATTTGACAGCAGGAAACAAACATAATATTATTAAGAACCGCTTGGCACAAAACAATTGGATGCAATTTATCAGAAGGTAAGTGTTTTTTTTTTCTGAAAATCAAAATGTATTTTTGACATTAATCGTGTTACACTCAGTTATTCTCCAAATTATTCATTTTGACCGTAGTCCGACAAAAAATGACGGTAATATAAACATCCATTGATAGCTGTGCGCATTTCACCACTGAGGGATTGATACTTTAATTTAGACAGTAGGAAATTTGTATTTTAGAAAAGTGCAAGCACGACCCGCTGTACGAAACGCCGACGGGCGGTGGTGTGGTGTTATCGACTTAAATAATATACCGAACTAGTCTACCACTGATTGTGCGGTTACGAAGGCACGTGGTGATGACGTTCCTCCTAAATACAAACAGCCACAGTGGTGAGTGTAATGTACGCGGTTGCTCAAGGGTAGAGGGTGGAACGAGACAGTGGTAGGGTTAGTGGAGGGTTAGTTGTGCAGACAACCGACCGGTGCTACGGCACACGTGCGGTCGCCACGAGTCGGTTCGATAAGAGTTGATACGATGCGCAAAGTGGTAGAAGAAAACGTATTATTTCCTACGGGATGATATTTTAATTATTTATTACGAAGTGGTACAACATGTGTATATATACGTAAGGCACGTATACACGTAAGACATCTAATGAATTATAATGTGATGTGCAATTGACTTGACGAGAGCGTAATAAATAACGAAACGAACAAAAACCCCACGACCGAATACACAGATTTCGGTGGAGGCAGAACGGTAAAAAGGCGCGAGAACGACGGTGAAGGCAAGAGTGCGCGTTCTCGTGAAGAAGTAGTGCACGGCGGTGAAGGGGCATTATCGACTATGCATCCTCGTCTTCCCAAAGACATGGACCCGCCGCCCCCACTTCCGCGCGGTAGTCGCGAAATCAATATCCGCTGGTGGCCGAGCCACGAGTACACGACCCTGTGGCGTCACGCCGGCATACCCCTTTCGCGAGCGCACTCGTGTATTCACATTGAACCCAAATATAATATATAATTTTCGTACTTGACGATCCCCGTAAGTCCACGTCGGCAAAAGCGGACGTATAAAATAGCGTTGTACACGCTAAATATTTCAAAAGTAGAGCGACGAATCACGAGACGCTAACGGAGGGGACATGGCGTCTCAGACACCCCCTCGAGACAGACCAGTTCAATTAGACCGTACACTATAGTATAAATACTACTACTACACCAAACCGTACGGTGGAGGTCGTCGTCGCCGCAGCCGGTGTATGTTGCGATGGACATTCAATGTGCGTGCGGCGGACCATCACATTCCAGTGGGCGCCAAACGATATGATAAACAATAACAGAGAGACGGGTAGGTGTAGGCGCGTATATGCTAGCAAACGACGTGTACACAAATAATATTTTTTTCTAACGTTTATATCAACCTCTTTTTACTCCTTCGCCGCCGAGTGAATTTCGGACCAGAAAAATCAATGCAACCTTTTCGTCAACGAAACGAACGAGTGCTCCGACAAGTGCTTTTAAACAAACATTTTTCCTGCCGGAGTAAAAAATAAATAATATTTTTAAGAAGTGGTAGGTACGTTAAAAACCCTTAGTTTCAAAAAATATAGAAACAATACTTGCGCATATTCAAATACCCACCTAAACATTTACACGCAAAATGTGTGATACCTTCCTACGTGTACCCATATATAATAGACGGTATAACCAATAACTTGTTAAGCGAAGCGCCTTTGCGGTTAACCCAATAAGCAAATAATATTTTTAAATCTACAACTCTCGGAATTTCTCAAGCACGGAATATTGCTAGTCATAATATTATAAATTTATACTTAGTGTATGAATGGGTGGTGTTCTAGATTTACCAGAAATTTGACGGCAGAGCGAGTGCGCGCGCCGTATAAACTAGTTACCAACGAACATCGCAAGAAGAAGACACCGTTAACCCTTGCAGGTAGACTGGTGGCGGGGTCGGGCGGCAGCCGACCGGTGTTAATAACCTGAATGATGTCTCAGACACAATTGTTTCTCCTTTTCTTTCTCGACACGGTCGTCGTTCGTATACACAGGATACGGCGGCCACCCACGACATACCGTAATAGTAGTAGAATAAAATTAGTAGCTGTGGACTTCGGAGGGAGAATAGTTGGCAACACTTGGCCCCGAGGGGGAGGGGAATGCGTAAAATGGAGAAAACCACGGATACGAGGGTCGAGGAGCGAAAAATCAAGCGTAAGGAAACGAGACAGAAAATAATAAATACTAGGTTCGAGATCATAAGAACGCGAGGCGTTTTCACCGGGAAGAAATCACCGTTGCAGTATATTTTAGCGGGGGGCAAGAGAAAAAATAAATATATACGTGCATAAAATGAGAGTACATGACCTCGTTCGTAGAATCATAATACCTATGGATTATAAGGTCGAAAAGATGGTGAGCGTCGGTGATGGATAGTGATCGCCCAATAAAAACAAATGTGTCTTACGTTAGTTTTATTTTGTGTCGTTGAAAATTGAAACAATCGGGGGTTGAAACGATAACAATATCATAAAAAATAACAGACGAATTATTGTGATGTTTTCCAATATTTTGGTAACCCCTGCACGCGTCCGGTTGTTACGGTACGCGGAATTACAGAGGTGTCGGCGACGACGGAGGTACAGTGGTTGCGGCGGCAGAGGGGTCCCCTCCACCGCGACACAACAATACAATCAAAAGAAACTGCATGTAAATCGTACAGCGTAACGACACCGGCCGAAGTGAAAGAGGTCGGAGCCGGTCGGATTTTTGCGCAAGACGATCGCCGACCGTGACCGAACGCGCGGCAACGTCGCCCCCCACCAACAACAGCTCTACACAGTACACCGCGACCGCATCTCCAACACCACCCCATCATTACTAATATAATCGCGTTTTCCCACCGTGTCCGCACGATGGCGGCCCCGTCGACCCGAAAAAAGAACATCTGTCAGCGGTGAAACTCCGAGGGAACGTACGTTACATACTTACGTACAATATTATGTGTAAAATATGTAAAAATATTGAGTGCATGGTAGTAATATAACTCGCCACGCATAATGAGGGGGGGATGGGTGACAGTCAGCGAGTTGGCTTCCCCCCGCGACCGAGAGAAAAGTAACCAACACGAATGAGACCGATAATAATATAGTGACCCGCGATGCGATGGGTTTGGGTGTGCGCGTCGGCTGTAGACATGAGGAAGGGGGCGAACGGGTGAGAGAACAGTCAGTGGTCGAAACCGCGATTGTCTGATGTCGGGATAAATTAAATAAAAACGTCTGGACAAACAACCGAGCGCCGCCAAAGGTGGTTTCCTCCGTCAGCGCTCAGCGAAACCGTCAGTAGTGTTGGTGTAATAGTGAGTGAGGTGCTCCTCTAGACGGACGAGACGGGAGGGGGGCGAATGCCTATTTTGCGGCCAGGTCACTTTTTAGAGCGGTGACGGCCGGCCGCGGGCGGCAATGATTACATTAAACGTGTGCAGTGTTATTATCCACTACGGATTGGTGGAGTGGTGAAGTACACACTCATTACAAACGTGTTTATTATCGGGTAAACGCTACCGCCGCGACGCCGACGAGACCACCACCAACCACCGTTTATCACCCCAGCGAAATCGTGCTATTATAGTATTATCCCTCCGACTCGTATTCCCCGTAAAGGGTGAAACACCTCTACGGATAACGACACAACTCTCCCCACCAGAGCACAACCAATAATCCAGTTTTTTTTTAATCCGTACACATTATTACAACTATCCGGCACGCAACAACATAATGATATGATACTATTATTTAATAATATTATTTGTGCACCTTGAACGACGCAAAGGCGGACACATGGAATTCTTGAGTATGTCAACGATAGTCGTAGTCACCGCCACGGCCACTTTTACGGGAGGGAGGACCGGGTCGAAAAATAGAACGAGTGCTTATGAAGGCATATTATTTTATGATAGATTAAGCACAACGATTTACAAAATAAAAAAATTCATCGATGGCCATGTGGCTATCTCATCTGTGTGTGACTAATATAACAGACTTATATGAAGTATACTTTGAGGACGTGAACTGCCAAGAAAACTATTCTAGAGATGTATTTTATCAAAGAGGGATCTAAATGTATAGCAACAGTGAAAAACGACAACAGAGGTGTAATAACAAACCCGTTAAACATTATAAATAATGAAATCATAGTCTGATAAATACGATAGTCGATTTTTAATATACACACACGCGACACGCTACACAACAAGCCGGGTCGTGCACCGTAGACGGCCAAACACTAAAAATATTATGAATTTCGTCGCCGCCGCCCGGCGTCTACCATAGACACCATTGTGGACCACAGACGAAACGCCACAATGTACACAATAGCAGCAAATATGAATTTTTCACGATGACATCTATTCTATAAAGAAAGAAAACGAGCGGGTGCGACTATTAGGCGGGCGAATTTACGGCGGCGGTGGAGGCGGTGACAACAACGAAGGTCTTCCGGCGGGCGCGGGAAAAATCAATATTTAACCGATACGGAAATGTTTACGAAATTTTCGAATGAGAAAAAAATGAAAAAAAAAAACAATTGATAATGTCGGACGCCCGCTTTTGGGAACCACTGAAAGCGGTTTGAAAATACGCAGGACATAGCCTGTGTTTGTGTGTGTGTACGCGCGCGCGCGAGAGGCGCGTATATACTTAGAGTAGTAGCGAGGATATATATATATAATATACATGTATTATAGTACCTACGTCTATTTTACGGGGGAAAAAATATTTACCGAATCTAGAATTACTAGAATCTATTTTCAAGAAATTGATTAATATATAGGTGTTATAATTATATTAGTATCGAACTACTGATTATTTTTGTGAATACCCGAGTCGATACTCGATATTGTCTTCACGGGGTGAATGCAAAGTTTACTACTGCCATGCGTCCGCTTATCTACGTGCACGCGTCTCGGCGCCGCGTTTTGATAAAGAAATAGTCAATAATAATAACAACGAAAGCCACGACCCGTTTTGTTGTTGACGATAAGCGCAATATTGTTCGAAAATACGTTTTCGATTAAGCTAGTATCTCACCTTGTAAGATTTCGTAGATATTTATAGCGACGAAGTAATAAATTCTTGTCTGATAAAACGTAATTCGTTGACAAGTAGTGGTGGTAGTATCGTACCCAACCTACCCGGTGCACAAATCTTAATTTATAGCAAAACAAATTGTTTTGGAATTTGATTACGAATATCTAATCAGTTGTTTACATTACCACTATAATAGTAGAGGAAAACGTTGGGATAATTGATTTGGTAAAAACAAAAACATTGAAAAATTTAACCCTCCGGACATTTGCCAATAAACAAAACCTAGACAATGATCATCAATAATGCTTTACAATGTTATTTTTTAGTAGGGACGATATAATTGTTTTTAATTATCTTCTAATAGTTATCTTAGCAGTTCAGTCATTTTTACCTAGTTTTTATTTATACCTGCTATTACTTAATTAGAAATCTAAGAATTGTAAACTAATTGACCAAGATACAATAGTAAAAAAACTTAATAACAAATTTAATGTTGCTTTGAAGTCTGTATATATGTTGTTTTCTTATCAGTTATCACTAACATAAATATTGTACTAACTAGCAAGGGAAAATATTTTTGAAGATCATTTGTGTTTAAAACCTGTGTAAATTAAGGTGGCAAGTTTTAGTATACATAAACTGAAGAATAGGACACAGATACATAATTTACTAAAATAAAAGTAGAAAAATGAACATCTGTTTTGAATGTAAATTGTATTGTTATCATTTCATATTTTATTTTTGAAAATAAAATCCTATACCGACTACCTAATACACATCCACATACTATAATTTTAATACTTTAATTCTGTATTCATCATAGGTATGTTCTATTAGACTTAGATAATAGGTAAACTTCTTTTAAAGTTAATAGAAAGGAAAATAAACAAAAATCATACATTTATTTACTAAGAATTTATTAATACAAATAGTTACCTATATATAAATTTGAAAACCAGAACTGCCGGGATGATAATATTTGACCAACATTCGAAAAGTAACAAATTGGTTTAGAGTTTCTATAAAATATAGCAACTAACACAGATTTTCATATTTTAAACTAGCATAAATATAGTATTACTACATACAACCTACCTAAATACTATGATTTCAGGAATAAAAATGTTATGATACAGTTTGATACATTAGTTCTGTGATAAATATTAATGATGTGAAAAGTAAATTGTTTACCGTCTTATCTAAATTGGCAATAAAATGGAGTGATCATTGCAGAATGATAAACCTACCTAAAAACACTAAAATAATTATGATTGACAATTAATTGTTAAAATTAAAAAAAATTAGAATATTAGGCGAGTATCTATATTTTTTAACATTTATTAGGTAACACCTTAATATTATTCTTAGAATTCTCTTAATTAAATATCAAAAATTAGCTTGATATATATATATATTTAAAATGGAAAATCTTTGTTATAAATCATATAGTGGTTTTTTATTATGAAAGTAATTGCAGAAACAAAATATGTCAATGTTTATATATTATACATTATAAGTACTTAAAGGTATCACGCTTCAGTCAAAATCCATAAACTAGAAAAAAATCTTTAGGTAGGTAGCTAAAATGGAACAGGAAAACAGTTTACATTTTATATTAAGTTAAGAAATACTTATCTATTATCATTGATGACCTAAGAACGTATGACCCTTCTATCATTTAGAAATATAGGACTATTGAAATCCTAACTAAGAACACAAATAATATATTTTGAACTTAAAATACATAAATAAATAAAAAGGAATAGTATAGAAAAATAACTGATATTTTTAAAGCTGAATAAAATGTAATACTTAGGTAATTGTATTTGTCAGGCCTTTTCTGTGACACCATTTTTTTTTTAAAAAAAACTTTGTTTTGTGTAAAATAAACAAAGATTACGCTAGAATTTGATATTATCTAATCCTTACAAGTAGGTATCAACGTACGGACATTGATTGGATTTGAATAAGATATATTGTGTAAACAGACATTTTCTACCAACAGTTATATAGTAAAACGTAATAGGAAAAACCTTAAACTTTAAACTTGATATATCTAACAGACAGAAAATAATTGAAAGTTGAGTTTTCTAAATAGGTCAACATGCAGTCAATGGGTATAAACCGCAAATGAATTCTACTTGCAGTGTTTGAAGATCTTCATTGAGATTTTTAGTTTGGACCTATTACGCATTTGTATTCCAACAGGCCGAGAAAAGCTCTAGGCAAAGCCATTGACCAATACACGATATGTAAACATTTGGCTATGTGATATGTTGGGGCTAGAATTATTGTGACATGCAATTGCATCATACAGGCGACCAGCATCTAAAGACAAGTCAACAGTGTTCAATGTTTATTATCCGGTGGATACCAGTCTTCAGATTAGAGGAGAGCTACATGATCTGGAAGAATATTTGATGGGGTATGAACGAGGGGCTGTTGGCCATCGAGAAAAATTAATGTTTGAGTTTTCCATTTGTGAGTGGTCGTGACAGCGATGGTTAAACATCATATGCGTAAAATTCCTTTACGTTAACCTATAGGTATAAATTACCTATTACCTACGCGGCTTTAAAGAAACAACGATGTAAAACGGATGCCACTAATAGTAACTAAGTACTCACCAGGGCGAAGAAGTTTGTGTGGCAATCCTCCAAGCTGGCACCGTTGGTCTGATGGCTGGAGTGAGTCATTTTTCATTGGACATTTTGCCTGGTACGACGGCTGCTGTGACGACGACGGCGACGTCTTGGACGTCACACAAACACCACGGCTGAGGCGCCGGCGGACCGCGGACACCACGACCACGACGACGCGACGGTATACGCGAAACAGTTTCGGCCGAACGACGGACGTGCGTCAATAACGCGTACGGACATAATCACAGGCCGGAAACGCGACAATCATTATCCGATGCGCCCGGAGCTGCGTTGTTGTTCATGTTCGACGACGGCGAGTCGCGTAAAATGGCGGACACACCAACACACACACTCGCGCACGCACGCACGCACTCACTCTCGCACGCACTCACAACCCGAAGGACCTGCGCACCCGATTGGCTCAACACCCGTCACATGGTTAACACAGTGGTAACCAGAATTGCGGCCACTGCGGTAAAAACATACGCCGCCCCAGCACCACCGAAGTAGGTATATGGTATATCACGAATTCACGATATGTACGCAATTGATGATGATAACAAATCGACGATATTATAGATTATAGTTTATTTTAACTTTTAAAAGCTACGATTACTGCGACGATGATGGCCGGATACGTTTCAAATCGCTCGGGCGCCTCACTGCGATTGTTATTATCGGTGAATTCCAACAACAACAACAACGGCGCCGCAACGAATTTGTACGACCTATTCGGCGTCCAGGTAAACTATAAGAATTCGCGACAACCGTAGTCGTGTTACATTAATTCGCGTGATCGCAGAGATAATGTCGAATGTCGATGAATTAATTTTCGCAACACAAATACGAACGTTTTCGTCTTGAACGATATCGTACGTGTTTTAATTGTTTTCGTCATGTCAAAGTGTTGGACGATGTAACCTTTTGAAGGTTATGGCCGTAATTTTGGTACGATACTCGTCGGTGATCGCAAAATGAGTTAGGATTCGTTTTTACCGACGAACCGACAAGACAGCAATAATATTTACCAAACGATTATTAAAAATAGTAATGATGACGTTAATTAGACGTTGTAACTGGATGTGTCTTACAGTCTCGGATCATATTATGTTTTTTATCACATTAATATTGTTGGCGGCGTCAGTGCAAATAAAATCACTATCAAAATCTGGTGTATTGATAAAATAATATTGTTTTGGCCGGCGCCGCCGTCTTCTACCAGTGCCGACTCACACGACAACCGGGAATTTCCCGCTCACCGAACTAAGTAGATGTAACGTCTTAATTATAAATATTTTTATATTTTCTGTTAGGAATAGGAATTGGGATTTAGGATAATACTATCGTGCTTTTAATTATTTTAGACCTTTACTTTCTTAGTAATATTAAATATTGTCAGTAATTGTAGTCACAAGTGTACTCGCGTGGCCATAATTGTACATATTTTTAACTAATATAGTAAAAATTATATTGCTTACTGGCAGTATTTCTGTAAGCTATAATATAATACTAAAATTAGAAGATTTCAAATAAAATAATAATATTATCGTTGGTTGATGATTCGCGTATTAATTGGTTTATGGTCTTATGGATATCCATTATTTGGATCCAATTATCCAACATTAGCATAAAAGAAATAGCAATTACACTGCATAGTGCCATGTTTTTGGAAAGTATTTTAATCACACAATGGTTATTATTAATTATTAGTCTTATACTATTCATGTAATAAATTCAAAAGCAAATGAATCGGAAATCATTTTTTTTTAATGTGTTATCCATTGTAAAAACTTTAATATACATTATTGAAATTGAATTTATTACCACTCTATTTGACACTTCCCATTATATATATTATTAGTAATTACTTATTGCATATAATTATAATTATTGTATTTCTCAATTTTAGATGAAGCATTTGCCCTTATAACAATTTAAATTCTTTGATACACCACTTACTATGATATTCACTCTCACCCTGCCAGGAAAAAAACATTTTTCCTGAATATGACCTTGACTACAAATATTGTTTGATTTATTAATTAAGTTATAACTCATTTGGTTTGTTTACAGGCTAGATATTTACACAAAAAAGTAAAAAGAAGTATACCATGGGTACCGCCACGAAGCAAATTTGAAGGAAATGCCAAGGCCATAGCATCAAGAGGGTTGGTTGATATATTTTTAAATAATGTTATGTATTAAAACAATTATTCAAATTATAATTAATATTATATTTTATATGTTTAGGTTTTTAAGGCCACTTAAAGAATATGATCCTCCATTAGATATCAGGAATGTCATAATAAAAATAGCAAATAATACAGTTAATCAAACCAATGTGTCATACACACTTAATAAAAATGAAAAAATCCGTTTACTTAAAAAATGTGAAGAACTGGTTGACCATAAAGTACCAAATTCGCTTTTACATACTCTGAATACTTTAGGTAAGTTTTAAAACTAAATAATAATGATCAGTATTTTTATTTTTATTATTTTTTATATAGGTGATGTATTTGAATTTTATGAGACACCTGTAGACACAGTTGTACCATATGATGCACTTCAGAATCGTGAACTTCCCCCTAATCTCCATATATTATCCGATTATCATAGGTTCCACCCAGAGACAGATCTAATGTTTGATGGTGTCACTGCATTCCCACGCAGTTCCAACTTGGTTACTGGATTAAAAACGAAAAAAAAATACAAAGGATTTACTACTTTGTCTCCTTATGATTATAAAGATTAAAATTATTTTGTATTATAATTTTTAGAAGAATATTAAAAGTAAACAGTAATTTTTATTGATAAACTTATATAGTCATATGATGTGTTTTATAATAAACTTGATTTTTCTGTTCAAGTAGAAACAATTATATAACAATTCTAATTGGTTTCATTTATAATAATCTAATCACACAAGGTGTAATTATTACAGTGTAAGTAACTCAATATTTATATAGGTGACATGATTTTAAAATAACCTTGTAGGAGTTAATTATTTTCAAAACTAACGATAAATCATTTATTTCTAAAAATGAATAGGAAACATTTTAGTTGATCTTGTCGACATAAAAATGCAGCAAGTGTTTTACAAACTTTAAAAACAAACAAACTTTCAGTTTAAATCTACACTACCACACATAATTATTTATCAAATTTTAAGAATAAAACATTGCACTTATACAGTGTGTTTATTTTTAAATGTAACACTGAATAATTCTGTCCCGTGAAAAGATTTATTAGATACTTATTAGACATTTTTTACCCAAATAAATAATAGAAAGTATAAAAATTGTGTTAATTCGTTTAATCTTTTCTCAATAAATTAAGCATTTAGTCTAATTTATGTTAATTAATTCCTCAAAATTAAATTTAAATGATTTAATAATATCTGCAAGCCTACGGTTACAAAAAAAAATGCATAGTACAACTATAGTACATAATACACTATAAACACCAACATTTGAAGCAAGTATTATCTAACAATCTCTAACTGAGCATATGCTTACAATATTATCATAAATATTGTTTTTTCTGTAGGCCTATAATACCCTAAATTCCATATTAAAGTAGTTACATAAATATTGGTCAAATTTGGAGGCAATCATACACTAGCCAAAAGTTACTTTGTTGTAACTTGTTGTGAAGATGATAAAAAATTAATTAAGCACCTAAATTACTTTTTAAAACCGACAAATTTTTAGTATTCACCTATAATTTTAAGTGAGAACCAACAATTAAATTTTAGAACAACACAGACACTAATAATTTTTGTTAGTTAAAATTGTTTTTTGACAACTAATATAATTTTAAAATTAATACAATTTGTATTACTTGCAACAAACATTTTTTTTTCAAATTATCTTCACTTGGAACTATAATATTTTCTATACAAGAAATGTAGGTATAATTAACAAGGGTGGACTGAGGCAATATTTCAGAACGAGAAGATTTAACCAAAAAATAAATTTTTATAGCCAGTTAACCCATGAACACGAATACGAGGCCAGACCACCACCAAATCTCCCTTCGTCCCACCTTGCCAGTCCACCCATTCCTAAATATTATTATAAACAAAACTAAAATTTAACCAGTTCCAGTGTTATTTTGGGATACTTAAATTATTTCAAATAAATTCTATATTTTTATAACAGGTGCAAGTACTTACTAGATGTAACAGAAATTTAACCAGTGTTGTGGACCTATTAATAATTAAAATTAAACTAATTTAATCTAAATAAGTAACATTTTACTAATATTTAATGTTTCTAATAAAATAAATTAAACCAAAATACAATGTATTTGAATAAAAGGCCATAAGATCTTTGTTTAAAAATAATATAATAATAGTATAATAGGTTCATAGTATTTTATGAATCAACGATAACATATTTAATGCACTTTGGTTTCCTAATTTTTAGTATTTAATATTGATAATATATCTAATATCATCTTGTTTTATATTATACCTTTAAATAATTTATTTTATAATACATAAAAAAATCACATGAAAGTAGAATTTAGTACAAGTTTGTTCATTTTGCTTAACTATATTACACATGTCGTAAACTAATTCAATTTAAATTATTGATAAATATGCATAAAATATAATGACTTATATTAAATTAATAAATTAAACAAAATTAAATTTTAATATTTTACTAAAAGACTTCCAAATAAAACACATTGTAATTGCATGATGACTTTTTTTGGATAAGTGGTTAAATAAAAGTAAGTACATTAAAAATATATAGTTATTAGTTAATCCTTTCATCCACCTACCTTAGAGTTTAAATACTACTAGTACTACTGTACAACCGTATTTAATTTAATAACAATAATTAAGAATCAGAAGTTATGGCATTGTTGACTTAATTTCAAAAATGTGGAAAGTAATTAACTACTGGGCTATATATACAGCTGAAGTCTAGAAACCCTTGCCTGTAACTGTGATGGATGTGTTAAATTTGAATATGAAAATATGTTTAATGAACAATGGGTAACAGAAATAATTATAATTATTTTGGTGAGCTTGGTGGATGTAGTACAAAGCGTATTTGATGTATTTACAGATATTTCAATGGTTTATAATTAATGGTAAAATGTCTATAAAAATGTATGAAATACAAGTTATTTTAACCAAATAAAATCCAAAATTGTACGAAAATCGTTGAATATATTTAAAAAAGTTTTTTTAGCTCGCTTCTAAAAAACATGCAATAACTTCAGAGCTAGAGTAATATATTTAAGTACTTGTGTTATAAAATAAATATATTATAAATGTTCCTTAAACAAATACATTTTTAGGTAACAAAATTCAATATCACAGAGTTCATACAAAATATAAAATAAATATATATACTTCTATTTAGGAAATTTTAGTATACCACGTTTTGAATTTCGATGTTCATTGCGCTAGAAACGAAAAAAAAAAATGATTCAATGTATTACCAAAAATTTCAACTAAATTAAGAGGATGCAACACAGACATTTATTGTCACCTTCTTACAATTGCTTAACATTATCTGTGTTTGTATTGGGTTTTTTTTATGATAGTTCAATTTTTTAGCAAGTTTTTGTACATAATACGGCGTAAATTAAAAATAATCAACTCAATTAAACAATGAATAATAGTAGAAAACCCACATACAAACACAGATAAAGTTCTTACCAACAAGTCTCATAATAGAGTCGATTCACTCTAATTTTTAAACTAACAAAACTAAATGTTATCTGCTGAGCATAAATTTGATATATTACGCACGTAAGACAGATACAACTAGTGTCTGTGTAGCGTCCTTTTAATAATGGATTGTTATTATTAATATACAATTAGTTAACAGTATAATATTGTATTAATATATAATGATGACTTATAATTACCACTAATTTACTGCCAAACAGCATTCGAGCTTTGTCTTCTTCTTGTGGTGATGCCCCACCATCTGCTATTGCTTTGTTAGTTTTTATTTGCAACTTGTGTTTAATAGCCTAAAGATAATTTTATATATTAAAATAGAAATTTTTTTTTCATATTTATGATAAGACTATCTGGATATAATATAAAAAGTACTAAAAACAAACCTGGGATAGAATTACTCGTCTACTATCGGTTTTCATAGCTTGACAAAGATCTAACCACGTCCATGTAACATTATGGTATTCAATTGTGGGAATTACTAAACTAAAATCTCTTATGTCTTCCAAATTTTTTTCTTTGTTACCTTTATAACTAACTTTTACCGGCACTTCTGGTATTTTAATGTAAATGAACAGTTTGTTCTTTTCAGCTCTTTCCTAATTTAAATAGGAATTGTATTAGACCATAGCTCACTTAAACTCAATAATAAACTATTAACATAAAAATAAATATACTCTACATAGTACATATTTTTACCTTCATTTTTTCAACATCATCTTTATGTTCTATTGGAACATAAAAATTACTTTCTTTGTTCTTTTTCCCTTTAGATGAATTTTTTTCGTCTGTTTCAGCATCTATATTTTCAGGATCTCTTTCAGAAAAACAAAATCTCATCATAGTGCTATAAAATTTTTTGGTCATACCTAATTAAATAACCACAGGATTAATATTTACTCTAATAAACAAAGTGCATTAGTAATTACCAATTGTCAATGGTACCACATTTATTTCAAAATGTTCTTTGACTGATATACCTCCAACTGGAGCTTTTTCCCTACAAAATATTCTTACTGCTCTCTACACATATAAAAAAAATTAAATTAATTCAAAAAAAATTATTTAATTTTTAAAATTAAAATATTGAACCTTTCGATCATCAACTGGCATATTGTTTTGAATTTCTGTAGGCACAATGACTTCTTTGTACAGTTCATTAGCTAGGAGATTTGTCATTCTAATGTATCCTAATTCTAATAAATGCTCAACTGAATCGTCACTTTTAGAATTTTTTGTATATCTGTATAAGAGGTAAGAATTTTAAATTTACTTATTTATTAACATGTAATATTTCTAGACTTACAAAAAATTACTAAGTACTAAGTCGGCAATTCCCAGTTGGCCATCATTTTCTGTTAATCTCCATTGAGCATGTTTGAAGCATATTTCGTTGGCTCTTGAAGGTACAACGCTTGGTTTATCACCTCGTAATGTAGCTAATTTTTGAGTTGCTCTAAGTTGTGTTTCTTTATAACAAGACACCATCATATCTAATTCTTCGCTTTCAGAGTTTAATTGATCTTTTAATTCATTCATCTTATTGTTAGAAATGTAAATAAAACATTAATTTAAATACATACATAAAATAACATACATAGTTTATACATCATTAGTTAAGATTTTTATCTTACTTGTTTTTCTAAACTTCTAATTTCTGAAGATAACAATTCTTCGTTTTGCCAATCTTCTTCTTTTTTTAATAAAAATATTTCTTTTTCTAATCTACGTAGTTTAGCAACCAGACACCTATATTAAAATTATTTTGTTTATTTTGTTATTTAGTATTCTTAGAGAGAAAAATTACCGAACATGGTTTTGTAACTGTTGAATGGGTTGTCTGTGGTCTTGACTACTTTGAAGTTGCAGTTGAAAACGCATTCTTTGCAAACGTTCATAAGCTTCTTTTCTACGTGGTTCCACATATAATAATAAGTTATTCACAATATCCAAGATCATAGCATACTATAATTAAAAGTTCATAAGTGTAAATAACCACTAGTTAGTTAAGGAGTTTTATTTTATTTTTTTTGGATTTAATACCTGAAGAGAATTGGTGCAAACATCTAAATCATGATGCATAAGAGTAAATGCATCCACTGGTTCATGTAAATCTGGATCACCAACAACATCAGGTGTAGCTGTTGGTGGTGGCGGTACTTCAGTTAAATGTGTTGGATTTAAACTACTCTCACCATGACCCGCATAAAAAAATTCACATTTACATCGTGAAACAATTCTTTGAAGCTAGTAATGGCATAACAATATGTATAAATATATATTATAACAATATATAATAATCTTAATATATTTTATAGTATTAGTAAAAAAATATCAATTTACCTGTAATGGAGAATTTTCTCCGACATTACTTGCCCCAACAGTTTCGCTGACTACACCTCCAACGCTGTGTCCACTTCCAACAAGATGCGGTAAGTCAGGAAGGTCAGATATGATAGTACTGTCTATATCTTTTTCTTGTATATTCTCAACATTTAACCACATTATATTTTCTATTAAAATATAAAATATATATTAAAATTATATGATAGAACTTAATTAATTTTTAACATTCAATTTTACCATCAATAAAATCAGTTTTTCCAGCACTAACTGTAGCATAATACTGCATACTATCTAAAGTGCCAACCCAAGTTGTTTTAGATACTAATGAATGGTCCTTCCATACTGGACAATGAATTCTTTGTAATATTTCAGCTTTAGCTGCGCTCACTATTACATATCCTTTAGTTTCACATCCTTTAAGCAACACTTGGCTGTTTATTAAAGCAACTAAAATAATAATTATTGATAGTTAATTATTTGATAATATAATGTTCAAAAATATGAGTGAAAAATCTTACAAACAAAACTTACTCAACCAATTCTTATAAAGAACATCGTCTTGCTGGCATCCAGATAATCCTTGTAATCTCCGTTCCCTAGTTACTTGCATTGATAGGTCATCACTGAAAACAACAGGTTTATTGTCTACTTCAGATATAAGCTGCTGAAGCATGGTAGCTGCTTGACCTCCACATTGTAGTTTTGACATTGGAGATGGACTAGCTTGACAAGTGGTTGATGCAACAGATGTAACTGATGATAATGGTGTAGTCTGCTCTGTAGAATCTGCATTTCTTGTACGATTCTTCATTGGTGTACATCCACTGTCATTCAAACAAAACCCTTTCAATGCTTCTGTAGATAGATTTTTTTTTAATTTCTGAAATATGTATGCATTTAAGTTAGTTTTAATTATTTAAGCATATTAATCATTTCATTATTAAAATTTTTAAGTTCTACCTGATTCTTTACTAAAGAGTTGAATAATGCAAAAGCTACATCTCTATTTCTTGTTGTCCAAGCTCCTTTTAAATGATACACAACTAATCTATGAATTGGCGTTGGACTACCATCAGCTTCACAAGTACCTGTAGTTTCTCTCCCATATGAAACTTTGCTTACACTTAATAAATAACATTTTTCAACAGGTTTTTCTTTAATTTCGGCCTAAAATGTGGAGTAAAATATGTTATCTGTTTGTTTTTAAAAATAATTATACTGCTTTTACTTCTTCTTCTTCTTCTTCTGATTGCAGGGCACTTTTTAACCATATTTCTGTATCCATTAATTCACAATTCATATAACCAACGGACCAAACCGGTCGTGAACGGTGTTTCAAGTCATCTTCAAAGTTTGATGCTAAGTTAAGGGTATGTTCTGAACTAGTAGATATTCGCTGGCCAAATAACTCAAATCCTCGTTGTAAAGCAAATGACATCCAATAGTGTACTTGAAAATGTTGCAAAGATACGCACAAATGAACTTTTCTATAATGACGACTTAAAGTTAATTTTTTGTGTCTATTATTATTAAATAACGGACCGCGTCTGGTAGGCCTTGTTACACCAGACAATATCAATTTCAAGTTTTCAAACCACCTAGAATAACAAAAATTACTCAACATATGCATGAAAAAAAATTGATATGATATATTATACAGTTCTTGGTTTACTTTAATGTACTGCCATACAAGAGTGCAACAGGATAATCTGTATCTGTATGTGGAGACCCAGTGTTCGGCTCTGGTTTGGTTTCAATAGAAAGGCTAACGTTGAGATTTTGTGAACGGAATGCTCTAAAAGAGTCATGTTCCTAAATAAAAAAGCATCATATAAAATATGTTTTATAATTAAAGAACTTAAGTTATAAAAAAGTCTCAAAAAAGAATAATTTTAGTGGTCTAAAATTGTTGCCAGACAATTTATTCTATATAAATATAAGTTGCACTTTACATGTGACAACATAAAATCACAACATCCAATAAGCCGTACTTAAAAAAATGTGTACGATTAAAATAATTATTTAACGTACAAATTCTAAAAGTACATTGCTTAAAAATTATATTCATCGTATTAGATTTTTTTATTATTTCTATAGTATTAAAAATTGTTTCGAGGTTGCTTGCTAGTTGATAGTAACAATTAATAATACAAATACACGGAATAGCAAAGATAAATAATATTTAATCAGTCAAGTTTAAACCAATAAATTATAATAATTTAATATGTAAGAACTTAATAAACATATCAAAATTACCTCAGTACAAAATATACAAACTCCAATAAAAATATATAAAATTGAAAGAGTTGAAAAGAAGAGATGTCGATTTTTAAAATCCATGCCTAATTCATGACATTTATGAAATCAATCTTTCTCCCTCAAAAAATATTGAAAATTGTAAAAATTATTTTTAAGTTTTCAGCATAGTTTTATAAATACTTTTTTCTATTTTAATAATATGTAACTATTAAAATAAATAGTATTTTGCATAAAATAAGAAAGTTGGTAGTTTTATAATATAGTAGGTTTATTTACTGTGATTCATGACCAATTTAATTGTATGTATTTTTGTTTAAATTTGTACATTTTTTTTCAGTTTCTACATTATTAATTAAAATAATGCATTAGTTGGTTTAAACTTTACAGATTGAATATTATTTATCTTTGCTATTTCGTTTATTTTTTATATTTAATTGTTCCTATAAACTACCCTAAAACAATTTTTAATACTAAGGAAATAATACAAACATCTGAAAAATACATAACCTTTATAGAAATGTACTAATATATATAAATTGTACGTCAAATCATTATTTTTCTGATAAATTTATTAGTACAAAGTAAATATCATGTGTGTATTTTAATTACAAACTATTAGACTGTGATATTATGACTGAACATAAAAAACGGAAGTAATTGTCTGACAACAATTTTTTTAGACCACAAAAATTATTCTTTTTTAAACCTCTATATTTTGACACAATAAAAAAACGTTTAAGTCTTTTAATCCTTAAATATTTTATCAGAAAATTTACTTGATTGCTAGAATATTCTGGTAATTTATCTGGAGCACAGGGCATAACTGAATAATGGTCATTAGGATCACCCAGACAAGACCATTTTAACTTGATGCTTAATTTTAAATTTGGAAGATTTAATAAACATACATCGTCATACTTAGAAGCTGTTCTCACAAGAACTTTTAAATGACCTTTGAAAATAAACTTGGCTAGAAAAAAAAGTTAAAGTTAAAAATATTAATTTTAAAATTAAAAATTATATTACCATTGGTCCAATCCATAGCAGTATTATACCAATTTAATTCCATTTCTTCAGTTGTGTTGTATGGATCAAGAGATGCATGCAATTTCACTTTCAATTCATTGACAATCATTGTTAAGCGACCATGATATATCAACCTGATTTTATCCCAAAATGGTAATGGCGGACTTGGATCTCTACTAGAACCCAATACTTTTTCTAAACCTATTTAAAACAATTTTTAAATTTAATTTTCAATTACTTTTATACACTTTTATTATATAAATACATAGTTTGCACTGTGCAATGACAGGTTCCCAACATGGACCAAATGAATATGTATATTTATCAACTTCACAATTTAAGTCATAATAATATTTCAATGAAGTCATTCCTCTTTCGATTGTCACATCGCCAAAAGGATCACTTAATTCAATGGTTACACTTCTTTTAGCTAAGTATAAAAATTAGATATTTAAAACAATATAATTTAATGTTTAAGTTCCACAGAAAATAATATAATATTATAATAATATCTATTATTTAATATATTGCCTCGGGCTGTAGGTTCTTGTTCAGCACCAGCTAATTTTCCCCAAAGTTGAAATTTTCTAATATCAAGCCATGTTTGTGGGAAATCTCTAAGTTGAAATTTCCATTCTGCACAACTTGCAAAAATCATTCGACACCAAAGAATACAAAATTCCAAGCCTTCCTCAGGCCACAGGCTATCTGCATCCATTTCACATATATGATTGACAACTTTTTGAGGTGTATGCATGGACTCATCAGCCAAAATAATAATACAAAGATCACACATAGTCCACGAAAATAAACGAGTTCTTACAGGTGATTGTTGTTTCATTTGCTTAGAACGTTGTATATAAATTTGAGCGTTCATTTTTTGCAAGCTAGTTAACAACTCTTCAACTTTGCCTGCTGGTAAAAGTAAACGATCTTTGACCACTTCAGACACTTTAGTTTCAAGCATTTTCTGGCGTTTTAAACTTTCCTTGTATTCATCTTCAAGTAGTTCGTAGTTATCTCTGAGCTTCACTTCAAAATCATCATCACTCAATTCAAAAATGAACTCTTGAACCTATAAATGATTGTATTTGATGTATAATAAATACGAATTCAATCAATAATCTTATTGTTGATTTACCTTTAAGGCTATATCACTTGGAAGAGGTTCAGGTTGGAGTTTTGGTTTTTTATGAATTAATTTTAACCATTTAAAAATACTAATGAATTCACCTTGAAAAATACTGTAAAACTCAAATCCATAGGGAAATACCATTTTAAAGTTTTCAATAGTCACATCCCTATATAAAAAAAAATTGTGATTTAACAATCTTCATGTTGTAAATTAATATGAATATTTTCATTCTTTTTTTTTAATCACCAAATACTATTTGCTTCAGTTATTAACCCTTCAGAATTTTGTCTCTCAGCTTGAACTTCTTTATTAAAATTTGTTTTCAACATTTTAAAACCTTTTATAGCAAATATACTAAACTGATCAACGGCAACTTTGAAACTTTTGCTTTCAAGATGACGCACCTTGCCATTTTGTTTAATATACATCAAATTATCTGAAAATAAAATTCAAATTTCCAAGGTTTAATTTAAAAAAAAAATATGGTAAAATAAGAATGTTACCAGTTGAAAATAATAAATAATGAGAGGAAGAAACTTTCATTGAAAATTTGAATTTTGATTTGACACATAATTTAATGTCAACAAATGTTGATTTGTTTGGATCTTCAATAGAACTAATGCCTGTAAAAAAATTCAAAGTTCTAAATTAAAATAAATTGAGGTATTTTAAAGAGGAACACATTATTCATAAAATTTTAATATTACCCAAATGATTTTTCATATCAGATATGTCTGTAAATATAGTTAATAGTTTAAGGTGAACATTTGCACTCCACCGACATTCAAATATTTCATTAATTTCAATTAATATTTCTTTAGTTTCCAGTATTTTTTCCAATTTTAATGACTTTATGTGAAGCCACCAGCTCTATATTAGTTTTAATTTTTTAACAATGTTTATTTTCTCTAAATTTAATTAATTGATAAAAATTAAAGTAAAAATTACCTTAATATCGTCGGAAGATGTACACACATAATGATATTTAGTTGGTACTAATGAATCACATTTAAGACCTTCAATTGCACAAATTATTCTTGAAGTTCCAATGTCTGCAGAAATAGTATCCACACGTACCAAAACACAAACTATAAATCAAATTAAAAAAAATGTACAAAATGTATATTTTGTAAGTTGAATAAAAATATACTTTTTTTATCTGCTATAAGAAAAATATTTGCATTTGTTACAGAAATACTAGCTGGAATTGTCTTAGATATAGACAATTTTTGATCTTCTATCGAAGAGTCATTACTTTTAGATTTCAAATTTATTTCTAAAGCGGAAACAATTCTATAAAAGTTTAAAATACATGATTATTAGTATAAATTATTTTTCAATCAGTACATAAAAAAAAAAATTATTTTATTGCATAAAATATTATGTTCTGCATCTTGAATAAACACATTATATATAACTTACTGCTGTAAAGAATTATGTGCCCTCAAAATGAACTGAGCGAGTGGTGGACTCCATTCTAAGCGTACAGTATCAAGTAAAACATTGAGTCTAGGTGCATTTGATGGAATAGAATTTTTAATCTAGTTATTAAAAAAAACCTGAATAAAATAATTGATTTTTAAAATAAAAATTAAATAAGTTACCTGTACCAAAACTAGGCCAATAAACAAGGGTGTACCCCAAGAATGACATTTTTTCATACCCGGACTGTATTCAGTATTTGTAAATGGTTTTAGCCAACAACGCACAGTTTCTAACATCAAGTCACTAGTCCATTTTCTGTGACATAGCCCAATAGGCCAATTCGCAAACACTTTACTGTGATTTTCATTTCCTAATCAAACAAATACATTAAATTAATAAGATATTAGAATACAATTATGAATTAATATAGTGAATACAAACTTAGAACTGGATTACAAGATAACATTAGTTTAAACTTATTTAAACTAACAGATGCACATTCTGAGCCAAGTCTACATATTGTAGTCACATTTAAAAACTGGACCAATAAATCTATACTAATGTCATCCATTGGACTGTTTTGTGATATTAACAATTTATTTGCTGGTGAAGGTGAAGTTGACTTTAACTAAAACAAAACATTTTTATTATAATAACTTCTTTTGTAAACAATGTTAGAGATGACTAGGTATGGGATGTGCGATAAAGACTTATAATTATTTGGGGCTTTGCAATCACAATTATTCAACTAAGTATTACAAATATTTATCATAGATTAATATCTAATCAATATTAAATAAATATCTTAAGTCTTGAAATTTATAAAATTTTAAAATAGAAATGTTTAATTTAAAATATATAATTTTGCTATAAAAAAAGAGAAATTAAAGTTTAAACCTCAAAAAGATATATCTATATATAAAGTGTTTGTTAAGTAAACTACTTCAACTACAATCTAAATTTTTAACAAACCTAACTTTTCATTCTAGTGATAAAATAACAAATAATATACATTATCCATATACATTTTTTTTTGCTTTAAGAGTAATATGGTTGGGCACATACAAATGTATATTGAACTTATCCAAGGAGAATCATTTTTACCTGATGTGGATTCAACATTTGATCAGTATAAGAAGTGTACCATTGGTAAATATCATCATGTGAATATAAAGTGTACACATTATTTATCTTTAGATCAAATTTAAATGATTTCTTAAAGTACTAGAATAATAAGAATATTTAAAAAACATTATTTTTTTACCGCAATATTACAACTGATTAATAAAGGAACTCATTTTAAATAAATGTATACCTTAGCTTCAAACGAAAACTTTTCTAATGACACGTAGGTTTCTTCATGACCAATCAAGCACAAACTTTCAAAATTTACTTTTAATGAAAGATTACCTAAAAGATTATTGATTTTATAACAAAGTATAATTATACTTCATCAATTGTATATTATGTTACTTTGTTTTATTGAATCATTATTGTCATCGGGAATGATAAGATTTTCTATAGTCAATAATTTCAATTCTCCTTTCATTTCTGTAACTAAATTATCTTTTACATCAACAATTGTTAGCTCTTCGAGATGTATTTTTATTTTCTACACAAACAACAACATTAAATATTAAATAATCAATATTAATAACTAAACTAACCTTAGGCACCAATGGTGGTATGGAAATGTCTTTTGCAGCCATATCCAAACTACTTTGAACATTATCATTTTTAGACAGTGTAGAACTAGCTCTATTATTTTGAATAAAACTATACAACCCTTTATTTAGTACAATTTTTGATTTGTCAAGTTTCAACATTAGTGACTGAATTGATAAAGGTTCATGTGTGTCTAATATGCTCTCAGCACATACATTAACAGTAATCTTTGCTAAACAACATGAATTTGGATTCATAGGATGACGAAGTAATTTTGCTTCTGCATATGGAGCATTAACATTAGCTAATAATTGCCTCGATGATCCTATGACAGATGCATCTAAATGAAGATCTATAACAGATACTATAAAGAGCCATTCAGGAGTATTTGGTTGTAATGACACTATTGATATACGACTTATTCGAACAGCTAAAAACTAAAAAGAAAAGTTAAAATTATATTTTTTTAAATGTTAGGTTTTCAAAACATTATTTTATTCATGTACTTGTGCAAATTTCATAACAATTGGCAATATATCTTCAATTTTATTATTGCTTTGGTTTTGCTTTATAATAATGGAATCATTTCGTTCTATGTTTTTTTCAATTCTCACATCGCGAGCTACAAGACATACCAATTTATTGACTTCGCTGCTAATAAAGCTACTCCGAAAACCAATATTATCAATGTGCTGTCAAAAATAATGGTTCATTAAAACATCTTAGAATTATATTTTTTGTTTGCAACGTACCACTGAATAACCGTTTTTTAAGAAAATTATATCTTGTAATGAGAATATACCAGCCGTGCCAATTTTTACGTTCAAATGGTATTTGTATTTGAGATATAAACTGATGGCTTTGGGTAACAACCTAAATTTAAAAGTTTCAGTGAGTTGTCAGAAATTAATTAATAATTTGACATCGAAAGTGAAATTTACTCACCATTTTAAAGAATACAGTAGGATGGAAAATACACAAAAAAATACAGTATTAAATTCAATCATTGTATTTGCTCATTTGTTAGTCAAAACTGTTGGAACTCTGATCGATTGAAAGTGAACATTTTAGGCTATATTTGTATTTACCATTCCATAGGGACCGTAATTTATTTTTAATTGAACAAGTATTAAAACCATTTGACATTTTTTTGATGACTTGATGTTGACATTTTTTAAATTGGTTTTTGTTCAGAGATAAATGATAATAATAATTACTGTCCCTTATCTAAATAGTATATTTTCGAAGGATTCAGATAACAATAAAAATCGGTTTATATCACTAGCTTTATCACCGCTTCATCAATTCATCATAGACAACCGAGCACGGACTAATAGGTGGTGCGTTATTTATTTTCGAAAGGAACACATTAATTCAGGAAAATATTTGTCAGGAATGCTTTTATGATAGAAACTTATTTTGTCTGGAAAACACTTCTTAGTAAAACCAAATTAGGGAAAGTTAATTTTAAGAAAATATTATAGAGGAAAATTATACACGATAATTCAAAAGCAGGAGATAATTACATAGGAAAATATTGCCCAAGAAAATCTCGATTTTTAGCCTTTGGAATTTTTATAATTTATTGGGACTGGCTAGGGGTGTAGAGAGGAGCAAGTAAAAAATGCAATAGTTAATGCATAGATCGTATACATTAATACAATAATACCTTATGGCTTATACTATTGTTCTTTGATTATACTAAAAATAAACGGTCTATGATCAAATGTTATGCTTCTTCCTTCCCTCTACCTATAAAATAAAATCCCCATGATTTTCAACGCCATCTAGGTAATATTATAATTTTGAAATTATTTTTTATATGGAATTAATTACACAATATATTACCCTGTATGACTTAAATATTATGTTTGTTATGTAAATATTAAAATTTAATTCAATATCAATAAATTTTGTTAGTAATTTTATCGGTCTTGTACATACAAATGTTATTTAAATATGTTGATTGACATTGACATATCATTTTCGACTCACAGATGACAGGTATTGCACTCGATGCCAGTCCACTATATCTTAGACCTTAGTCATAGACTTTTAGTAATGAATTTGGTGAAAAAATATGAAAAAATATTATTATTATATAGAAAGTTATTAAAACATTAAAGGAATCTTGTATTACATTTTAAAATCTTACTAAAAATAATTTGGACAATTTCGCGATTTTGATGAATTTCTCCTAATTACCCTCGATTTTTGACCATACGAAAATTTGGCCAATAATTAAAAAAACTAATCAAATTCCTAACTTTTTATACCTATAGCTCGAAAAGAGTCAATTATTTTTAAAATTGTATGGAGTCTATTAAATATAAACATTCAGTGAACATTTCATGTAGTTATCTACTGTTATTTATTTTGTAGTTACATAAAAAAAAAAATTTTGGCGCTAGTTTTCCGTTTTTCCTTAATTTTTTAGGTTTCTCCCGAAGATTTTGAAAATGACTGGTAATTTTTTACTTTTGACCACCCAAAGTACCAACTAGATTCACTTTCATACCAGAAAAGGTGCTTAAGTAGAAATCTAAAACATTTACCTATATAAAAAGTGAATCGGCTCAAAAAAAAATTTTATTTAAAACACATCACTACATGTACATTCATTTCCCAACTCATAATCTAATATTTCATAAAAGGTACCGAGATAAGTCGATAAAATACGGATTGTACAGTCAGTGCCGGATAATATTGCATTTTGTCGGTTGCCGAAAAATGTTTATCAATTAACCGCAATCGGGCAGACCGACCACACTAAGGGTTATATTGGTTGCCGATTTAGAAAGCGAGGAAAATATTTTAATTTAAAATAATATGTTATTGCAAATATAAGAATAATTTATGTTTGATTTCTTCGAAATTAAGCTGGTGCAAAGTACTATATTATTATATTACTAGGCAGTAGGTACAGTTAAAAATTAATAAGAATTATTTGTTTAGAATATAATATATTTGATTTTGACGAAATGGTATATGAGTAGAATGTGTATAGTATGACAAACAGTTATGTCATTATAAAATGTTAGAAAATAATTTGTTCATGGGTAGTGGGTACTAAGTATGATGTACTTCACGGTCTTCACCATCTGCTATATAAAAGTGTTTCGGATGTGTTTTTCACTCTATCTTTCAAGATATTAATTATTCATTTAAGAAAAATACGGGAAAACAGGAAATCAGTTTCGAATAAATCAATTTTAATATTTTGTGGTAACTCAAAAACGAATATGGTTGTCAAGTGAGTACCGCTCTGCTGTACAGTAACAGTACTACAGTTGTTAGATAATTTCGTTGTAATGGATTTGTTATACTTAAATTCAATGATAAATCATTGTATATGGAAAAGTGGGAAAAGAAATTTACGACAAATTTCAGAACGTAATTGAAAAGAATGCTGGGTTTAAAACTTTGGTACAGATTTCTAAAATACATTCTGGTGAAGTTGATACTATGGAAGGAATAGAACAAGATTTGAAGGTTGAGGATCTTGCATTCTTCAAGTATGCTCCAATAACGTCGGTAGATGTAGAACGAAGTTTTTCACGTTACAAAAATTTACTTTCCGATAACAGACGCAGCTACAAGTTTGATCAAATTAAAAAAACTATTGTATCACAGTGTAACGCTGATAATTTAATAATGTAATAAAATGAACTAACTAATTTTTGTTTTATGAATTGTAATACATTTTTTTGTGCATATTTTGGTGTTTTTATTGACTAAAAATGCATATTTTATAATTTTTAGCGCATATTTTGTTTGCATATTTCGTAATTTTTTAGTGCATAAATGCATGCATATTACAGTAGTTTTAAGTGCATAAACATCCGAGCCCTACTTAT